GCATGTCATAGAAGCTCAGTTGGTCCAACATAGCGTCGTCGTCCCTTTCCAGCCATTCTTCGTTCATGGATACGCTGTCTTCGTCTCATGCGTTACCTCTTTTCGCTAATACACACTGTACATTTACTATATACACCACTGCATCATATCCTGCACTACAATCACCGAGAGCCGTCGCTAATGCGTGTGAGGTCTGTCTACTTACCGTCTCCCCAAATTTTGCAAAAGACGCGTCATTATTTCAGCTATCGAATGGGCAAGCATGCGACCCAGTTCCTTTAACAAAGCTAATGCTGTAGTGGTCACCTGGCGGTCCATGGCGTTTGTGATTCAGATATGTCTTCGTCCGCATGATGTGCGATTACCTCCCCTCAAACAATCGGTCGTTTAAATACACGGCCTGCATTTCCCAACAAGTTCCTCAAGTTACCTCGTAGCAGGACTGGTTGAGCTCATCTGGCTTATCGACTTCAAAAGATCCATTTCCACTGTACACATCCAAGACATGTCATGCCAATGTCGTGGCACACAACGCGTCTGCAGCCGTTCTCTCTTGGAATACCTGCGTCGCAATAAGCACGTTTCTACCAGCAAGCTGTCGAAATCTGAAGCAAATGAGATGTAAGCACCATAATCAAGTTGTCGTTGTATTCCGGCAACTATTGACCCTAAAAGCACAACTCAGAATCAGACTGCCTCTCCGTTGCTACGCCTACCGCGAGAGCTGCGAAACCAGATCTATGGGTACACATTCGCTTGCTACTTCATAGATATACTACATGTGGCTCGAGATCGTCTCCTAATCAGAGTTTTTCATCAGCTTTGTCGCCAGTACCGCTGCTACGAGTCTTTAGACCGGCTGCTTTCGCCCTCTATGGTCTGCCGCCAGATTTACAACGAAACTGCCCTCTTGCCATTTTCGTTGAACCCACTTCATGTCAGTTTTGGGGAACTTGCAATAATCAAAAACCTCATACCTGCTGACGTAGTCGCATGTGTCAAGAAATTGTCGGTGTTCAATGATCGCTCGCTGAAGCGGCTCAAGGAATCTGGATACGATGTCAATTTGGAAGCATTGTGCAGATTTCCAGACTGGAAGACCGTTCTTGTGCTAAACTTGGAAGGAGATGTACAACCGGAGAGGACCGAAGAACTTAGGATGAGAGTGGCGGCATACGCAAGTGCTGCCGGGCATGTTAAGACAGCTTGAACATAACATCTAGACAGTACTATATCTTGCGAAAATTTATCGCGTTAAGACGTCGCTAGTAGCTCCTGAGGTCACTTGGGTTCCGCGTGGCCTAGCGCATGGCAGTCTCGTAGCTTTGCGCTGCTGCTGTATAAAGTCTTGCGAACATAGCACCATCAACTTGAGGTCAAGAATCTGCGTCTACTCTTCCCAAAGTCATTTTGTTGTTTTATGATATCTGTGCACTTCCCAAGTGTCCAGGTGGTGTCGCGATATCACTTATCGCGATTGATGACGTCACGCGTGACAACTGTCCGTAGACCTCTCACTCCCTTGGCAGGTACCGCTTCATCACAAACAACGACCTCAATTATCCTCAGGCATTTCTTCTTTGCATACAGGCATCACAGCATTGCCGTTCACAGAGCCTTAAAAGCGTGACACACATCGCACCGTCAATATGGCAACGTCAGACGAGAAGACGCTGCTTGACCGTGTCTTCGCCGCCAAAACCACCGAAGAGTCGCGCGAATTATATGACGAATGGGCAAAGACATATGACTCCGACATGACTCTGCACGACTTCACCGCGCCACGCCTCGTCGCGCAGGCAGTAGCCCGAGGGCTGAAGCTAAACCACATCTCGCCCGACAAGCCTCTCGCTGGCCTAAAGATTGCGGATGCAGGATGCGGTACCGGCCTTGTTGGTATCGAACTCTCCAATCTTGGCGCTACAGATATACTGGGCCTCGACATCAGCGAGGGCATGCTAGCGGTTGCTAAAAACACCGCTGTGTACGATGACCTTACGACCGCGGACTTGACGAAGAGATTGGAGTTTGAGGACGGAAAGTTCGATGCGCTGACATGCTGTGGTACGTTCACACATGGTCACTTAGGGCCGGAGCCGTTGGAAGAGTTCGTCAGAGTTGTCAAGGATGGTGGGGTCGTTGTTGCAACTGTGCTAGACAGCTTCTGGGTCGAGAAGGGGTTTGAGAAGGAAGTGAAGAGACTGGAGAAGGAGGAGAAGATTGAGGTCGTGGAGACGGACTTGCATCAGTATCGGAAAGATGCTGGAGGTGGGCGCGTGCTAATCCTGCGGAAGCTGTGAACTTGAAGCGTATGGCGAAGGTGCATCTATCATAGCAATTGCGATGGTACAAAAGCCAAGAACTTTGTAGACTTATACTTATGCGCAAAGTGTGGCATCACAGTAGGAATTCCTAAAGAGCTAGAAGATGCCGGTGTATCTCGCCTCATCCTACATGACCTCCCACCTATTCTCCATGGTGTGTTTATAACAGGGGACAGCAGTATCAATCGACGTAACCTCAACTCCCTCTGGAATCCGACTGCTGACCCATGTTTGCACACTAACAAGCGCATCCTCAGTTTCGTTGGGTTTGAGATGCCTGAACCATTTCTCAACTCTCAATCGCGTAACCTCATCTTCCATAGGGAGATGGCGTCTGTTCCAATCATGCGCGATCAAGCACATGTCCCCCGAGACCCTAGGTGCCCAAGAATGAACCTCAACCTTTCGCAGTCTCGGAAGATCAGGGAAGTAACATGCTTCATATACCCTCGCGTTCGTCCAATTCCGATGTTCATAAATGCGAAGGACTGTGACTGCGTTTCGCACGTTGCTGGGCATTCTCTGCACGGCTTTGAGTAGATCTCTAGGACGTGCACGAAAAGCGTTGAGCTGGAATACCAGCAATTTGGTCTCCTCATGATACTGGCGGCATACCAGTTGATGCTTGAGGAGCGAGAGTAGAGATTGTGAAGCTGCGCTCGTCTTGCGCACGAGATTGTGGTCGTAATCAGGCCTAGAGCGGTATTTGTTCGAATGATAATCGATGCAATCCATGCGAAAGACGTATTCATAAATCCGATTGCGAAGTTCCGCAGGCAGGCGTAGAAGGGGCGAATCAGTTTGGTTACGCAACGTGCTACGCTGGTGTCAGTGATGTTTCGATCTAGAATTCGGACGGCATGATGGTAGCTTACATAGCGTCCATCTTGCCAAAGAGGCGTCCTGGATGGAAAAATCTCGGTGTATAGCTTGTCACTGTTCGACTTGATGATCTGTACGATCCGTACTTCAATAATGTTGTTGTAGAGAAGAGGGGCTGCTGACAAACATCACGACGTAACATTTGAACGGTTTAGCCCGCTTGTCCTATCTGAGCCTAGTGCCACTGCTGCCTTCCAGATCCCTTTCGAAGCCACTTCATCTAATTGTACAATACTTTTACATGACACATGATACATCAGTCCATCACAACCATTCCACGCAGATAGCCGGCATACCCGAATGGCGTCGGTCGCGCAAATTGTGAAACAGCAAGTCCTAGCCCCAGTCCCGCGCCCGCCACGCTCGTTTCTTGGATCGACGCGCTCGCATCGCGCGAACGTTCAGTTCCAACAAAGCATTCGCCTTCCCAGTCGTATTCGTATCGCTCAGACACATCATGCTCTGGGAAACATTCTGGCACATGCCCGCATACACGGGCAAAGAAGTCGACCAGGTCTTCGCTCCTTCCTTCGTTGAAGTACAGTCGCCCTCCGATGATTGGCCAGGCTGCTGAGAACCGAGCTTTTGATATTGAACCGCACGCCAGCCATTCTGAAGGGCGAATGTATATGGGGTCGACACCGAGGGCTGATTCAAGATCAGCCATGCGTAGCCACCGGTCTTCGCGACCTTTTGCTCCTTTCCATGTGGGTATCAAAGCACCGTAATCACCAGCTGGGCTCATCAAATCGATCACCAAGCCTGAAGCCTGGATCTGGACTATCTGAATAGCATCGTGACCTTGGATATGAAAATCATACGCTTCACGCAGAGCTGCAGCTGATACCAGTGAGTGTGAAAGCCATATCGAAAGACGAGGTATCTTACCGAAGTCACTGAAGACCGATATGAACGGACTAGCTTGTGTGTCGCGAAGACGAAGGTGTTCTTCTATACATTCCAGGCTGAGACAATAATACAAAAAGTCACATCTGGCCTGGAACAAGCTCGCGCCAACTGATGATCTTGGTTGGTAGATTGTCGCGCTGTGCTCACTGAAGACGCGATAGAAGTAGGGACCCTCAAAGCCGTCGATGAGTTCGTTTTGAAGCAAGTCGCTGCTGATTGGTCGGTCAAAACCTAGCCGCATCATCGATCGCCATTCACGTACCTCAACATTGTTCCATCACAATCCATCTCAGACCTCTACACCATCTTCCGTCATCTCCATTTTCGAGCAGCACAGTCTTTTGCGAAAGTACTGAAGTTGTCGCATGGCTTCCCGTGGTGTAGGGAAGTCTTCGGCTGGGCTGGTCCGTGATGGCGCAAAGCTCGCACCACCGCGTTGCAGCATTTTTCCCGCCCATCGACCTCATGTCAGCATTCATCAACTTCGTCTTCGAACAGATATTTTCATGACGTGCGTATAGATCAGTTGAATCTGATCACGTGAAATCGACGTCGGCCGGGATGACATTCTTCGTATTCACCGTTCTTTTCAGATGGAGCAGCAGTGGCAGACTCTTCTGACCACTTGATGTGTCCACTGCCTTCCAAACGCACAAACAAGACCTGTTCATACCATTCAACTCGCACAGAAGTGAATGGTACTTTCTTAATCGGCCGTTAAGTCACCATTGATCTCGGTGAATGCTCAAACCTCGCCCACTGCCCACCTACCGGCTTAGTGAACGCGACCCTTTCTTATTTATTTAAATATCGGCTAAGCAACGGGTTCCACTTCCCTAATACCTGACTTTACAACTCACAGCAAGAGGTATCTATTTACACCCGATGGAAACCGCCCGCGAATCCGACAGGCAATCCCCAGAAGAAGCAGTAGCTACTTCGCAACTTGTCTCCGAAGCTGTTCACTCTTCGCCTCAGGTCTGTGATACTCAGACAGACGCACAGATGCCTGCACCATCTGCAGACGGTGAAGCTCGTCTGAGCAATGGGGAAGATGCAAGTGCGACTAGTGTTCTATCAAATCTACCTACGATTACACTAAGTATGCCTTCCCCGCCGCCACTGTATGATCAGTTGTTTCCACCGCAGGCACCTACAGAGCGAACGCCAGTCATACAAGCCTCCCCGGAGGCCACATTACCAGCAGGTGATCAACGTCCGCAGGAGTCGCCCCAAGCTCATCATCCAACGCCAGGCACTCCACCTCAATGCCCAACACCTACCGCCACGCCCGTCAATCTTCCACCAGTCCAAATCGTCCCCCGACCCCAGGGAGACATTGATGAGATCTTCGAAGCTATAGAAACCAATAACTTCGACAGTCCCATCTTCGGGGAAGCAGGTGCGGTATACCACGACAAACTAACACGACGAGTCATGCCTAGGACACCAATGTTCCAGCATTACAACATCATTCCTGAGGTGCCCCAACCGAGGCCTGTAGCTGCTCCGAACGACAGACTGCAAACACCTGATACACCGACACCTAAGCCCAAGCCTAAGCGTAAGCCTAGGAAGAGGAAGCGCGACGAGACGCCGCAGGAGACAGTCATCAAGGAGGAAGATGGGGTAAAGGAGGAGCCGGTAGAGAAGAAGCAGAAGGGTGTGAAGATTGAAGACGCTGCGTAGAGGCCATCTCGTCGTAGCTATCTGGTGTCTTCTGAATGCAAAGAGCCTATTATATGGTCTGCAAAGGCATGGAATATTTCATAAGTGAAAGGAAGACTCTCTGGCGCAATGGTAGCGCATCACGCTTCTATTCAAGCGTCGCCTACATCTTTGAGAGTGGACGCACTCCGGGATGGAAGGCCCGCTTGAACCGTGAAGGTTATGAGTTCGACTCTCATGGGAGTTAATGGCTATTATTTTTGTGCGTTAAGTAACAATATCATGCTATACATGTCTATAGCGTCTTGTTTTGCTTCCAATAGGATTATCAATTGCTTCGTGACCATCTTCTCACCCAAATCTCGCCTGCACAATCTACCACTCCCCCAAATCCTCCCCCGTAAGATTCGGCCTAACATCCCCTCCCTCCAACCAAATCTTACACTTCCCATACAACACATCCCTCTCCGGCCCATGCGCATTCAAATCCATCTTCGGCGGCCTCCCCGCCTTGCTCTCCGCCCAAGCCAGATATCTATACCCACTCGGATACTGCCTGACCCCTTCCTCAGGTACATCAAACGCCTTCCCCGGCACCACAGGAACCATCTTATCCTTATCAAACAACAAAGTCATGAAATTGACACCCCATTTCCCAGCCTCGTTCTTAGATAGGAAAAAGAAGAAGCGGGTATCAGCTTCATTGTCCATTTCAATGTCATCAAGCATGATGCGACATGTAATCGTGACTTTCATTTTACTTATCGCCCTGTCGCCTTGTACATCGACCGTCTGGCCACAAATTCTATGCAGAATATATGGAAACGGGCCATGAGGCGTTTGTTTCTCAAACCCTTCTTTTGAGGACGCGATGAAATCATCAAGGCGGCCTTGCGTCCATGACGTTGTGATGTAGGCGCCGGGGTGGAACATGGAAGAGTAGTTTTGCCACTCGGCGGCGTCGCGGTACATGCCCCAGCCTTCGCAGATTTCGCGGATCTTCAGGCGGTCGAGGACGGAGGCGTCGGTGCCAGAGGTGTTGTTGCGGGTGGCGTTTTGGGGGTAGGTGGATAAGGGGGGTTGGACGGTGGTGTATTCGAGGCTTGGGTGTGGCATTTTGGCGGTGGATTGGATGGTTGAAATCTGTATACGGAACTCTTGGGATATTTCGGGTGTGGTATTTGTACAGTTGGTGTATACCTGGGTATGTCGCTGTGATGTATGCAGTGGTAACGGTTACGTCATTGAACGACTGCCGAACATGAGTGTTGTAATGGTGATGAAGACAAATGTTCTTCTGCAAATCGTGCCAGGCACCCACTAGCCACCTAGGTCTTGTATTCAGGAAGGTGCTGAACTCGGCCGTACATCGTTTCTGGGTCTTCCAAGGTCGGTATGAAGAGGTATCCAGGGCTGCCGAGTGCGACTCACAACGTCGCTCGTAGCGATCATTCTCGCTTCAGTCTCTTCGCGGGGCTACCCTCCGCCGAGGCGGGACCCCTCTTTGTGTTGGTTTGCTAGCAACCATCTCATGTACAAAGAGATACTTGCGTACAACTGTTTGTAGCAAGCATACTGCCGTATATAGGCAGCTCTCATCTCATGTTAGAATAGATCATCAATTCATCTCATTTCTGCTCACATTCAAGACTTTGTCGGGCTGCTCCATTGAAGGCTGCGCGCTCTCCTGCATCTGAAAGGTGAGGAATCGGGACGGTTTTCTGTCATGAACGCGCTCCAACTCCAGTCCTCGTGGTCATCCTGTGAAATACCCGGTATTAGTCTTGGTATCAAGGTGTATCTAGCGCTACCGAGTCTTGCGACTCACAGCGTTGCTGGCTTGCTTGCTCGCGGGTTCCTTTTCGCTTATGTTCTCGGGGTTGCTCGTCTTCTCGGCGCTGTCATCATCGTCCTCCGAGGTTGCAGCCGAACCGCTGCCTTGCTCGTAATCGTTTCTTGCTTGGAGTGCGGTTGCCTGGCTGTAGGTCGTCGGCTCTGGCCTCATATCCCGGGTCATCTCCTGCAATACGCTGGGCATTATTCGGAGGATTCTATCGTACGCTATCTGGACCTGGGGGCTGGTGCGGAATATGTGATCTACAAAATCTGTTTCCAGATCTTGTTCATTGGCGAATCGCGCCAAACCACCACCAGCCACCCAGGCCTTGTACTCGGGGAGGTGCTTGACGCGGTCGTACATTGTTTCGGGGATTGCGCGTCTCGGAACGCTCACCATCGCACTAGGGCTTTTTACAGTGTCTTTGCTGTTATCCGACATGTCTTGATAGTGTCTCTCAAGATCTTGTTGTGTGTGTTTAGAGGAGGGGATGTGTTGTGCGCGCGCAGATGGTGTGCAGGTGATACGTCGGAAGCTTTTGTGAGGTGCAGGTAGGCCTAGAAAATCATGGTATGCAGAGGGACTTCGTGATAGCAGGTTTTGGAATCCCAGCTTCCTGATGTACCATGGTTCTGGGGACTTGCGGCTTGGCGTTGATATGCCGGAAGATAATCTGTGATGCTGGGCTTGCCGAAATCGAGATGGTCTTTGGAGCGGATGCGCGGTTTCCGTGGTTATAATTCAACAGGAAAAGTGAGGTGTTGACTACACGATATTGCCTTCCCAAGAAGGAAACTACGTTCCGTGTTCTGGCTCGGAAGTCGCGGGTCAGCCAACAAAAAGATCGGATAGTAACCCATCAGGTAGGTGCACCTGGCCTGGGCGGAGTAGTGCGGGCAGAACGCCAATGACGGATTAGAATGCGCATGAACCGGTGGAGTGAAAATTAATGTAGACGATGGAAAATGGCTTCATATACAGCGCTATATACTAAATATCTTACACGTTCTGCTCGTTGATGAACAGACCGGCCATGCCCATACCAGTACCAATGCACATACTGGTGAGCAGAACCTTCTTCTTTTGCCTCCTGCACTCGCTCAGACCAGTGACAATTTGACGCGCACCAGTGCAGCCAAGTGGGTGACCCAGCGCAATAGCACCTCCCCTTGGGTTGAGCTTCTGGTGGTCGATCTTGAGTGTCTCGAGACAGTATACGGCCATGGAAGCGAAAGCCTCGTTGAGCTCGATAAGGTCAACGTCCTCGAGGGTGATGTTGAACTTGGAGAGGAGCTTTGGGATGGCGACGGATGGGCCAATACCCATGATCCTGGGTGGCAGACCAGCAACGGTGGCACCGACGTACTTGGCGAGGATGGGCTGGCCGAGCTTCTCGGCCATGGAACGCTTCATCATGAGGATGGCAGCGGCACCGTCTGTGAGTTGCGAAGAGTTTCCGGCGTGTGACCGGTCGCCATGGGGCAGGAAAGCAGGCTTGACCTTCTGCAGGCTCTCAAATGTGGTGCCGGCGCGGATACCCTCATCCTTGGTCAGGGTGACGGTCTTGACCTCGCCAGTCTTGGGGTCCTTGATCTGGGTGGTGATGGGCGCAATCTCGTCGTCGAACCAGCCCGCCTTCTGCGCAACCTCGGCTCTCCGGTATGACTCCGCAGCGTACTTGTCCTGGCGCTCGCGCGAGATGTTGAAGTCCTTGCCGACGTTTTCTGAGGTCTGGCCCATGGGCTGCATGCAGTCCTTCGCCTCCTGGTTCTCGAGCACCTCGTCGACGAAGGGCCTCTCGAGCCTGTCGCCGCCTGCTGTCATGCTCTCAGCGCCCATGGCAAGACCGCACTCGATGCTGCCGACGGCGATCTGGTTGGCAATGTCTTGTACGGCCTTGAGTCCCGAAGAGCAGAAGCGGTTCAGCGACGAGCCGGATGTGGTGTTGGGGAAGCCAGCGGCGAGCATGGCGGCGCGGACATAGTAGGCAGCCTTAGCATCTGAGACGTTGCCGACGCAGATGTCCTCTACTACGGCGGGATCGAGGTTCGACTTTGCGACGACTTGCTTGAGCGTCTTGACGAGGAGGCCGTCAAGGGTCGTGTCCTTGAAACCGCCCTTGTGCGCCTTGGTGAGGGGAGTGCGGAGGGCGAGGGTGATGACAACATCGTCGGGGTTCTTGGTGGTACTGTTGATGGCTGTCAGCGCTGCATTCTTCCCTTATCATCCGCCGCGCGTTCTTCACGTGTCATATCTGTCCGGGTGGAGCTTACAGAGCCGAGATGCCGCTGGCCGAGGGCGTCATGTGCGAAACGATGGACTTGAGGCGGTCGGTCATTGTGAAGGTAGAGAGGAGTAGTTAATTGAGGTTTGTGAGTGAGGAAGGCGAGGTTTAGGGGAGATGGCGAGTGAATGCGGAGGCGGAGACAGCTCTTAACTTAAGTTGTGGGGCAACATAGTCGCGACGGCTGGGCCGAGGATCTCGGAGCCACATATCGCCAGGTCACGTTCTCTCGGCAATTGCCCTCTTGCCAGGCCGGGCCTTTTTGCTCACTCAACAACAATCGCTGAGCATACTAATCAGCCCATGTTTTCGTAAGCCAGAATTCAAAGATGAGATGTATCAAGGTCTGCCCATCCACAGAAGTGCTGCATTGCTAGTCACGCCTTCCCCGCAATTCGCCGCCACGCTGCTTACGCCTCTAGCTTTGTGCTACCCAACTCCGACCTCATCTCAACCCACCGGCGCGGACACACACTCTCAACCTCTATCTGGTCTCATTTCAGTCATGATGAACTTTCGCACGTATGCGCACGCGAGTTCGCGTCTTCTACTTCCGCATCATTGCGTCGTTGCCCAATTGCCCCGAATGTCCCGTCGCGATTGCTTGGCAAAACCACGACGCGCAGAAAACACGCCGGTCTTCCGAATCGTGTTGCCTATAACATACATGTTCATATCGCTATCACTTGATAGGCGATATGCCATTGCTTGGGGTAGAGCGCATAAATAACACAGCCTCCACAGCCAGCATCGAGACCCAATCTTCTGGTAACTGTGCCACCTAGTTGTTATGCTGTCAAAGGAAATTTGGCCCCCAACGCCATCACTGCCCACACACCGCATCCCAAAAGGCAAGGTTAAACGCGAATCGCGCTGTCAAGAGGTAAGGGTGGTCAGGCAGGTCAGCCTTGCATACGTCGCGTAGCATATTCACAGTCATACTCTTAATCCATCGTTCGTACTACAGAGACGTCAACCACGATGCTGTCCGAGGTTGCCTGGATGCTTTGTCCTCAATGCGCCGCAAACAACCCAGCCAAGCGACTCAACGCCATGTCCCTATTGAAATTTCGCTCAAGATCCTAGCAAGACCCAATGAGCCTAAAGTGGCTTAAGGCGCACCGCGGAATGCATGCTGTCTGCACGCGCCTGTTGATAGACCCACACCCTCATTGGAGAGAGGAAAGCAACTCGCGAGGCTTGCATGGTCTCACACAACGGGAGCATGGGGGCGGCGGAGCAGGGCTGCGCTTTGACCTCATCCTTCCCATCCCTTGTGAGTACTACAAATGCTCGCTGCTGGTCTCGACCTGTTTGCAGTGGTACGCGATTTCATCGCCTCTCCGACCTCAGCCATGGCCGATTTCGCAACCGCATCCATGACGACTTCCTTCAGTTCCTCCTTCACGCGAGCGACACCCTCCTATTCGATTATGACCCCTTTCACTCCGCCGTCTTATTGCAACAACGTTGTCAAGTCGTCATGTTTTCTTGAGACACCGTCTAGTGGAACTTCAACTGGCACACCTACCCTAAGTTGTGGGTTCATTGAGCGCGATCAGACCTGCGGTTCAAATGGACGCCCCACCCGTGCTAGCGAATGCTTTCCAGGCAGTCCATTCCCATACTCGCTCTTGACATACTCCCCGGCTACAGGATGTCCTGGTGGGTGGGCAACGCAAAGTCAGATTATAGATTCGTCAAGCCAGACCACCGCAGTATGCTGTCCATCGTGAGTAGGTTCTGGCCAGCATGTTTGGCAGTCACTGACGTTGTTTATCAGTGGTTACTCGGCGCATACCTATTATTTCGCGAGTTGTACCAGTTCGATCACCTGGACCGCCAATTCGACTTCGGTCTTGGCCTGCCAGACGGATGGAAGCTTGGCTTCTGAACGGTTTACCAGCGAAGATGGTAGCGGCAACACAGCCGTTTGGGCCGCGAAAATGGAAGTGATTCTTACCACTGCATTGGCCTCAGAAGCGACATTCACCCCTCTCAGCGAACCAACATTAGATTTCGGTCCTCCTCATTATAACCCACCACCTGCCAATTCCCCAGAACCCAAATCACGTCGTCTCGGTACTGGCCCCATCGTCGGCATCGCCGTGGGCGCGGTCGCCGCACTGGCACTCCTTGGTGGACTCTTCTTCTTATGGCGTCGTCGCCAAAATCAGCATCACCACGCGCCGATACCGAAGGCTAGCCCGAGTGGAGAGCACGACGCGTTACCTGAGTTTGTGGGAAACCATGGCATGATTTCTCCGCCTACACAGATGGCGAGTTCGAATGGTTTGTTTCATCCACAGCCGGAGGTTAGGTCGCCGAGATTGAAAACAGCGCTCACACCACGGCGTTGATGGGTCTTGATGGCGTGGATATTCTCTTCGTTTGTTACTATATTGATACCCATACTGTTGAGCAGAGAGCGATACATTGTAACCACTTGGTCGTTCGAGACCGACTGAACCTTCTCTCTCTCGTTTTCATGATCCTTTGCTATGAGGCTTTTGTTCGGTTCCGCCTTCCTAAGTCCGTTGACGTGCGCGGGTCGGTCATGCCGAGCGCGGGATCTCACTGCGCAGCTCTGTTTGATCATCCCTTGTGCCAATCATTGTTATATACATAACATAAGATTTCCGGCAAGGTTGGTTGCCAAGGATCAATCTCTCGCCCGCTTTAACGCATGGGCAGATGTGCGGCGCAGCATACGGCGCGGAACTCAAGCAACATTTGCGAATCTCGTCACACCGTTGACCATCCTCTCATTAGCCGACGGTATCATGCGCCGCATTATAATGTTCCCGGTGCCAGGCGTTGCATATGAATGCACGGGTGCCTTTGGTCCCCATATGTTTATCGTCGTCTGCTCGTAGCCAAAATTATCCTCTCACATCCGCAAGATGGCCGACTCTCCCGTTACATCATCATCATCGTCTTTTGCTAGCGAACAAGCATCATCATCCTCTCCTACCAGCAACATAGACATCACTTCCCGCACATCGTCGTCGCCCGTAACAACACCAGACTCCACAGCCCCGTACGGGTCGCTGATTACGCCCTTCACCGCACCAGCTTACTGTTCCCTTCCCGTTCGAGAGTGTGACGCAGAAGGCAGCAGCAGCTGCGCATCGTGGGAAAGAGACCGGACATGCGGATCTGACGGCAAGCCCACTCTGGCAAGTGAATGTTTTCCGCCAGGAACACACTGGCTCGGCCCCTACCTTTCTTCTCACTCAAACCTCTTGTATTCTCCGGCAAATCAATGTCCAGAAGGATGGGTTGATGTAGCACGGAGGACTTTCAGCACATCTTCTACTTACACTCAAGTCGCATGCTGTCCTTCGTAAGTTCTTCTTGTGTATGCACAGCATGACAGTTTCAGTTGATTGACTCATCGGTACAGCTTTTACCGTACTAACGCAGGGAACACAAACCTGGCAGTGGAACAGGGTTGCTTCAGCCTTCCCGGCACGGACGTTACCACGTTAGAGGAGGTTGTGTGCGTTGAAGGCAAAGCTCCCGTCACTACTACCACGACCCTATCTGACGAAATATGGCGCAACCTTGTCGACGCCAGGCAAATCCAGTTGATCCTGCCTACACCCGAGTGTTCAACCGCATCGGACGGCTCATCTTCCTGCTCCTTGAATTTCCCTTCGCCTGCGCCAGAGACCACTCCTTCCAACCCCGACTCATCAAGCAAATCGCCACTACCGAAAGGCGCCATCGCCGGTATCGCGGTGGGCTTCGGTATCCTCTTGTTAATGGCCATGTGCGCGCCCGTTTGGCTCCTTCATCGGCGGAAGCAACGACAACATACTGGCACCGGTACAAAGAAGCGAATACCGTTCGATCTATCGTCGTTGCCGGAGCTTGTGGGCATTAAAGGAAACGGGGCTTCGAGCACGGAAATGAGTCTGGGTCATCCGAACGACGTGGTGCCGCAAGAGGGAGGGATCGCATCCGCGTCTGCGCCGGTGGCACGATAGTAAGAGTGGTTGTCGGGGTATGTAGATGGTCGTGTCATCGTAGCAGAATGAAGTCGAGAGGTCGCTATGAAGTCTGCTGCACGGTGATGACGGACTTCGGGCCATGCACGTGATGACCTCGCTCAGGTTAGCGCTGACGTAGCGCGTTTTGGGAGTCGCGTCATTACGTCAGCGGTGGGTGGCACACGCGTCGCGTCCTTGAACTCCGGCCATCGAGCTGTCAAACCTCGCCCAACAGCTTTCCCCCACGCACATGCTCGCCATGCTGAATCAACACTCGGGCATCGACGCGACAATGCGAACATATTTAACGTAGACACGCCACTGATTAATCGAGGATAGCACTTTCCCCGCCGACATACCGATCGTCAGCGAGACGAGCACAATGATTCGTTGTCCGCATCAATATCGTCGCCATGCTTTGTACCGAGACAAACGCTTGGATAATCCGGCCACCTTAGACTGATCCTATCAGGCTGTACTGCGCTTTCGGCATGGTAGCTTGACAAACGCCCTACTACTTCCTCCAATCTAGGCATGCGAACACGCAGGAGCGGTCAAGCTCGTGGAATGCCACTGCAGTCTGCTTGTGGGCGCGATGGCTTGCTCGTTTTGATGGCAATCACTGGGTTCGCTAATCTCGAGTTATAGACTCGAAGACAGCGAATACCGACCGCGATTTGCGGCTCTCTCGCCGTGGATTCACTGAACCCTATCGGGGTCGGCGTAATGACGCACGTACTCATGGCAGTCGTTGTCCGTTCCCTGCATTGTTGTTACCTACTGGCTGCGGCTTGAGAGTGTAGCCCGCCTTTCTCTTGCTGTATATTCACCTTCTTCCTCACCGATATATACGAACTCTACCATCCCACCGCCTAACTCAACACATCGACCGCCCGGAAACTAATTCTCACTCTACCTAACGCTCGCTCAACCCCTAAATCGACTACCGAAGCAAGACTGCAGCACACGACCCTCCTGACTGCTAGGCTATTCCCCGTTGTTGAGCCCACTCTCGACTACATTATACGAGACAGACCTGGTGTCTGTCGATATGGAGGTTTCTAAATCATGGAGCAAGTGGCAGGGTTTGGCTGCACTAGCAGTTTACTCGGTGACCATCATCGCCCTTGACCGTGTCTACGTAGAAGGCAGTACGTGGAAGTCCGTCGTGGCTTGGTGGAAGAGGTATCTGAAGCGCAGAAGGGATGACCCTTGGATAAACGCCAACACGAGCAACGAGATCATATTCAACATGCTGGCTAAGGCGATACCCGAGTCGCCAAACCATGTGTCGGATAAGGGCTATGAGCTTCTTTGCAGCTACAGCTTCAAGTCGTACACTGACACCCCTACGATCTACGTTCCTGGTACTCCGCCGATGTTTACGAAGCCAAACGCCCCGTTGAAACTGGAGCCGGACACAGGACGCTACTACATCGACCAACATGTAGCCAAGGTACCGCGGTTTCAGTTCGAGCCACTCTTCCAGGCACTTACTGTTATGAAGCCAAGCAAGCGTTTCGACGACGTTGATGTCCTCGTCGCTCGCGGATCAATGACCGCGCTCATTACATACGTCAAGGATGTATCATGCCAGCCGTTCGCACTGACCCTCCACGTCGTTGGCAATACTTTGATCGTGGGGCGACGGCTTCGATCTGGTATGGCTGGCTCTACCAACGGATCGTACGGGCGTAACTTTGAGGCTGCCTGGACGACGCAACTGGAACCAGATCTTCAAGATGCGGAAGGACATCACCATACCATACAGTACGATTTCGGTGGCCTCAACATCGTGGTAAGGGCAGAGACAGACGCATACATGCCCGATGAGCAGCCCTCCCAATACGAAATCGAGGAAATGTTGGCGAAATCCACATCGCATCCCGAGCCCGAGATTGCGAACACTACCATCCGACCCGAAAGCTCTGACTCGACCACCGTGCTTCTGGCAGGAAAGTCGATCTCTCATAGCAAGACGATGGAACTAAAGAGCAACAACCAGAGCAAGCCGCTCGATCAAATTTGGGTCGGTAGAACTTCGCGGTGGTCTCTTGGAACGAACAAGGATGGTGTCTTCTCTTCGACCGAGAAGCTCTTCACTCCAGAGGAGATGAGGAAGAGCTACGAGGATGACGGCAAGCGACAAGGAGCTCTTCGTAAGCTGGTGTGGTTGCTGGGCGAGCTGAAGACGACGGTCAAGGAGAACACAAGCAACGGGTCTGCTGTGCTTCTCTGCCTGGGAAAGGGCGAGGAGCTGGTGGTACGCCCAATGAAGACGCATTTGCCTGCCCTTCCTGATGCGATTGTGCAGCGTTTCTGGAGCTTGTCCGATCAGGACGAGATGCACGCGTAGGTATATTCAAGGTATTCATCAATTCTGATGACTGATATTCCAGGCTGCCCAATTCTTTCATTGCTCCTCAAAGCTATCACAATCATATTGCCTATCGAAGTATGTTCTTAACGGCTAGCCCGAACCAAGACGATGCCCCGGTTCGAGTCAAAACCGTAGCCTGTTCCCATTTATTGCTGCTCCGCTACTAGGCAGCCAATTGATTCACTTGCTAGGATTCCGTGGTCCGGTCTACTAGCGCTACGCTCTCTCCTCCGCCCCCAGATTTGTCGCGTTGGGGAGCTGCACGCCCTCTTACGTGGAATATCCCGAAGAGATGGAGATTTCACTAGGATTAGACAAGCAAATATGAAAATCTGACGTCAAAGTCGGTTCTAGGGTGCTCGGTTACCTCCTGGAGTGAGGGAGTATTGGCAAACAAAACACGCCTCTTCTACACGCCGGATCTTTTGATGGTATCAAGCCCCTTCGTTTCTCGTCCCCGTCTCGATCACGGTCATGAGCAGTCCCACCACCGGCCGCCAGCGCGGTACTGCCTCCAAAGCGCCCCGGAAAACACCTAGCAACGACCCCGACGTTACTCGTTGGGAGAATCAGCAACGTGCGCGTGCGCCTAGCGGCGCTACCCCACGGGTGAACACTCGAAAGCGCTCGAGATCTGGAGCGACTTCCGCCCTCGCCGACAAAGACGACGACGACGACGACTTCGATTCAGAGCACGACGTCAAAGTCAAGAAAGGCCGCACTACCTTCGACGAAAACGGGTACTTTAAAGAAGGCAACAAGAGCATGCGCTACTTTGGACCTGGGTTCACGGATCTATACTCGCCGTCCGTATCGCATCAACTCATCCATACCGGATTGTACAATCAGATGCCGCCCCGCGATGTACTTCAGAGGCCTTTCCATCCACTGCACAGTATTGTGACCCCCTCACAATTCGACATATCCGTCTTCACTATCCCGCTGACCGCGTTGGAGATTCTTACGGTATGAAACTCGTAACAGTCTCTCGAGATACTGCTAACTCGTTTCAAGTTCTTTCCCTTACATGCGCAGATTCCCGAAGTACAAGCCCGTTTCGCACAGAGCGGAATTAACCCAAGATTCCAGGCTTGGATCATCGTGAGTCTTCTTCTATGCTTTACCGAACGCGCGTTATTGTACTGAGCTGACACTCCATCGCGAAGAATCGTCAGCACTTTCTCCAAGGTCTGGACTGTCTCTTCGGTATGGACGCACGCACCTGGGTAAAGGACTGGAAAAAGAAGAAGGGAGTGACAAAGCCTGTTAAAGGAGCTGCGCCGCAGCCACCGCAGCCGATCATCCATACGACCAGTCACTACACATTCACACCCGGTGTCAACCGACACACGGGCTTCGACATCGCCAAGATACCCTACGCGCTTATCGATTGCGCCGAGGGTGTTCATCCTTGCAATTTCCCCCAGGGTCTTGACCGCGGTCCCTTTACCGAAGCCCTCATTCAAGCTCAGCTCATGATTTACTCGAAGCTTATGCTGGCTGATCTAGATGCGTTCATTGCGTATTGGCTTATCGATCGAAATCTTCAGGCCGGCTACAGCGATGCGGGTTTCCTGAAGAGGTATGTGGCGTTGCATGAGGAGTATCGGGCTATGGTGAGGAAGGATGTAGAGGCTCACGGCTATAGGTGGGAGGACTGAGGGTTGAGCGATGTGTTGCGGGGAAGTTCAGGTTTGAGGATGGTATACTGGCGGATAAATGGAAAAGAGGCATGTAGATGTTTAGACTGCGTCTTGTTGGGAACATTCGAGGATGTGATATCGTGCGTGTTACTGTCTGAGATCAACATTACATTGCTCAAAGCTACTGTGTCGTGTCTAAACACACGTCTCTATCATCACATGAAGCTTTTGCGCTGTACTCAATGTAATAAACTTTGTCATTTGAGCGAATGTCACATGTGTGAGCCGCTCGACTATTTTAGAAATTACCCGTCTCATAGACCAATGTCGCAGCAACACGCGCGAAATCATCTGCTAAATCATTTGGATAATTGCGAGATCTGTTATTCAATTCCTTCCTTGTCTTCCCATGTGTCTTATTTCAATGCAAGGCTCATGATACCCGATCAAATGCTCCCGTAGCATATCTTCCACTAGATCGGTCGTCTCTTCTCATATACCTCAAGGATCTGCGCGATAGAAGCATCGAAGTATGACGAGATTCTATTTAATCTCTTGTGCCCGCAATCACTCTTGATGAAGTGACAGAGACAAACTTGCACAGAGTGCGTGTAAGAAAGTAGGATAATGAAGCTTTCGTGAAGACAAAAAGGGGTACACAATACACTGCCTCTGTCCCGGATCAGACCTTGCTCAACACACAAACGAGTCCAGATCTTCGCCACCACATATGAAGTCTGTACCTGCGGTCTTTCTGGTCGACCCTTGAATCGTGTGTAGATATATAAATCCATCAATCCTTTGACTCGTTCTTTCTCTTGTCCTGGCTGACCTTGTGTGACGCACGCTGCGAATTGAAGAAGACTGACAAGCCTTCTGAGGACAGGAACTGGCCAGCTGATCAACTAAATACTAAGTTCTCAATTTCTTCCTCGTATGGCTCACATCCAGATTATCGCCAGGATATGAAGTGACTGACCAGGAAATGAGGAGCAGTGTCAGAGCATCGCTTAGTTGATCCTTGAGACGGGGGGAAGCTTCTCAATGGGAGCAAAAATGTGACCTGGTGGCTTCGAACGAATAGCGTGGAGCGATGTCGCAGTTTTCGGCCTAGTTCGCATCCCAACGCAATCGTGTTTTCACCAACAAAATTTTCCGACAGCCCTTCTTCCGTTGCTCAAGGACGACGCGCCAACGACCCCTCATCGAGACACTTCGCTGCGATCCTCGCCAAGGTCGCTGGATGCCCAAGACAGTGTTCCTCATGTGGTTGAGTCGTGTCGTGAGACCGCGATGGCTAGATGGCGGTCTCCTAATGGGACTATCGCAGTGTCGAAAGCTGGGTGATGGCTTCGAGACCTCCGTGAGATAGATATCGGATCTATCTATGGTACGCATCCGTCAATTGTCAGGAGAGGACATCGCAGTGGCTGGAATGGCTGGTATGTCTAAAACTCAGCCTTACTGATCATTAAGCCTGGTCTTGGCTCCCCATCGCGAATTTTGCTTTGTCCTTCTTTTGCTGGATGCGATAATCCGCCATCGTCTTGCGATATTGTTTCAATTGCAGCCTGTGACGGCGAAACGCCTCCTCGTCTGGGTTCTCCATCCCAGGTCCGAAAGCCGGGTTTGTCGTCTGGAAGTAACCACCCGAATCTTCGATGAACTGGACATCACTGAGCAAGAGATCAGCCCACTCGTCTAGATTGTCGTCGACAAACTCGATCAATTGAGTCAGAAGGCCCCTGTCTGAACCGGAAGGAAAGTTATCACGGTCGACGCCGTTCGCAAGATCGCGGACGTAGTAGTCGACTAGTCGGTAATCGTTGCCAGGCGGTGTCCAATTCTCGCATGAGAAAAACGTTACTGGAAGGGCCGCGCTTTCAGTGACCTGCTGTTGTCCCTGGCCAGAAGATTCCAACAATTCACGGGCTTCACGACCATGTTTATTCGTCTGCTGACTGATTGTCGATGGGCCGACACCTTCGACGGCGTCGGTGTTGTAAGCGCGGTTCTTCAAAGCATTAGCCTACGAATTACAAGAGCTGGAAAGGAGAACTGAACTCACAATCAAGTCAGCGATGTTGTTTTGCGTCCAGCCACTTCGAGCAAATCGCTGTGTCCAGTCCGGCCAGAGTGAGCCATGCGCAGGAAACCACTACAAGATACATCAGCTAAGGTGTCTTCGTTTGAGCGATCATTATATACTGACAATGGCCATCTCCACTATAGTTATAGGTGTCGAGCCCAAAAGCCGGATATCGACCTGCTTTGGGGCGCCCATACTGTATACCGGGTGCGGTTTACCATCAACACGGTAGTCTTTCATGTCGATGTTCATCTCCGTGGCGATACGTACAAGACCCTCGGGTGGCATGGTCCCTTGGCCGCCTTGCTTGAACGTAGCTTCAATCATTGGATCAAGTGGGACTGTGACCTGGAAGCCACCGCCAAGGTCGAGAAGGTAGGCGTCTGCCGGTAACGCATCAAGAGAGGATGTTAGAATGGCTTGATTGCAGCGGTCTCGGCTCAGCCGTGCGTCTTCTTCGAATGCTGACTTATAGTCTTCAGAATCAAGAAGCGCGTTTCGATGTATGATGACTTGGCCAGGAAACCGATCCCTCGCGTCGACAAGGTCAGCGAATGTGAAGTCGAAGCCTGAGACACCGGGGCCGATGGGGCTGGTTCTCCCTCCAAGGAGGCCCAATGCTCGAGCAAGGTTCTTGCCTCCTTGACACTCGCTTGGCGTTCGAAGACGTATAGCTGCAGAGATCTCTCCGTCGGCTTCAACATGCGGCGTTGACAAGTCATTGCGACTGTCTTTCTCGGCGCCCAAGCTTGCTGCTGCCAGGCCCAGCGAGTCACTTCGCGGTCCGAGTGAGTCCGACAGTGATTTGGTGAGTTGCGGTGATATATCGCTGTGCGATGGACTAGCAGACGTTGAAAGATGGATTTCGCCAGTTCCAAAGTCATAATTGGCGATGGCCTGGACGTTTGTGCCTGCTGTATGTCGGTAAGGCTTGGCCACTCCGTTGGCCTTGCTAGGCGCTCTTATCGTAGTCTTCTTGGGTTCTTTCTTGGACGCGGTACGGACCTGAGGTATAGCAGGTCTGCTCGTGGGTGGAGCAAGATATGGCGAATGTTGCCCCGTGGGATGCATGTTGTCTCTAGGCGTAGAGAAACCCGGAGGCTCATGAGGGGCGAAAGCGTACGCGGAAAGGTCAGTAGCCGGCGTGGTCGTCCCTGTATCACGGATAGACTGCGACAGAAACGACGATGCTGGCTCTTCATCTTCCAGTACATGGTATATAGCGCCAGGGAACTGTTGATGATCATGCGCGGACTGTTGCGCTTCGTCTACGCCGAGGGTAGCGCCAAAGACGAATTCGTCTGCGCCGGTGGGCCACATCGCGTCGATAGAATGATACTGCAATGTACGAGAGGGCTCGTGGCTCTCAGAGGCTCGCTCGGTGGATGATTGGCTTTCGTGTCGCGCCCAATTACTGGGGTATTGGTGCGACGACATCGGTGACTTCCTCGGCTGCGATGGCAGTGAGCCTAGCGGAGTAACTTCCGTCGCGCTGATGGTTGCGGCAAGGACTTTGAAGGTAGTCGATTGGTTTTGGGAGTATAGTATCTGTAGCAAGGCGGGCAAGTCAGTGGACGATGGACCCAGCGCGCCATGCGAGTCTTACCAGATGTCTTTGTCACGGATTGCACTGGATGGGTATACTAGCGAGCTTGGTGACATATGGCTGCTGTGTGTATGTCGAGTTGAGCAGGGCGCGGAGTAGCGATTGGATGTTGAGATTGGCGAAAGAAAGTGTCGACGAGGGTACAACGTCCGCGTTCGGCTGTTGCGGCCAAGGGGCTACGCTAGCCTTTACGATGCCTTCACAGCCACCACCTGCTTTCCAATCTACGGTCTTCTACAGAAGGTTGTAATAGGTCAGAAGATCTAAAACGGCTTATCGCGATGCTAAGAGACACTTAAAAGACAATAATACGAGCGGTAGAAGTGGCCTTGACGGGTAGACCCTAACCACCGCAGCTTTGTCGCCATAGATTATAAGGCGTCGAGTACGGGATGTGCTATGGACGCTCAGCTCCGATATCATGTTAATATACTCGATCGTGCTCGGTTTCCAATACACCGGGTTTGCTAACAAACTTCAAAGAACCAATCTTCTGGTTAGATACACATTGTCTGATTGATCTAATGTGGTATGTGCTATACAAAGCAGTTCTCAACATACCCAGCTAGAAACAGTGCGCGGCGCTCACCGACTCGGTGAATTCAATGCTGGTGTGGCACAGCAACGACAACCACGTTCCTTTCGCCATTACCCGACTAGAGTCCTCCTTCACAGTGTTCTTCTCTCGAGGCGGTCAAGTGCTCGATCTACTTAGATAGGGGACGAGGGCTCATCAAAGAGATCATCTCCACTCCGAGAATTATCTCCTATAGATTCTAATTAGATGGGAAGAGGACGTGCATTGATATGGACTATTGGCAGTGACCAAAAGCCAAAGGATAGTAAGAGAGGGCTGGGCGGCCAACATACCAGATAACATAGATTTATCCGCCAACGAAGGGGCCCCAGCCTTGTACTCTGGTACAGCTCGTCGAAGTACTTCCTCAGCCTTTGTAGATATGGCCATACCAGGCGCATGGAATGCCATATCTGGAAGGGGTATGGTCCCCAGAAAGCATGCGTGGCTGAGTCTGAGCAAATTCGCACCTGGCACCGGTGCGCCCTTCAGACCGGGGAGAAGTCGAGACTGTGCGCTGTAGAGCCGATCTAGAGAGAGGAAGGGTTCAGCTGAATCGTGCGGAACAGTGAACCCCGGAGGTGCAATGTTATTCCGAGGCTTCTGGAGACGAGAAGATGATCTGGATGCAAACTGTCCGTAGCTCCTCTCGTCGAAGCCCAGCTGCGGACGTCTCCGGATTTGTTGATTGATACTATCAAAGCCGGCGTCTGTGATGTCTCCAGTAAGCGACTGCGGGTATGTGAAGGGCGGTGTAGCGTTCGCGAATTCGTCTATCCTATGCGGATAAGCTATCGCATAGTCAAAGTCGTATGCTGGAAAGGCTAGCGCGTGTATTAGCGATACATTATCACATCTTTTGACTGAATATAACCTACCGGTGTTGGTGTTGGAGCTGATCGTCGCCTGGTCGTTCGTCGCGCGCGGGAATTGAGGGTTACACTCCGAAGTGCACTGTGAACGGTTGACGATCGCGGGCTTGCTGAACGCCGTGTTCCAGCTCTCGAGGCCAAAGTTCTCCTCCCCAACTCCCAGAGAGTTCGTGTCATCAAAGCAGGTATCGTACTCCCCTAGGCCTGCGAATAGTCCTTGTACATCCAGGCATGTGGTGCTTTCGCTCTGGTGGCGCATATACTGCCCTGGAGGGGCAACTGCGTTCACATAGTAGTCATCCGACATTGTTGTGCTAGATATACCGAGCATTGTGCGCTGGAAGAGGTCTAGAGACCCGTCATAGGTGTCTCTGCGAGGCGCTGTGGATCTCAAGTTAGGGCTATGATGAGCTTTACCAACATTGTGCAGGCGCTGCGTATATTGACGCAATACATGACCTTTAGACAAGGGGTGTCAACTTACGCATCGCTCTTCCGTCGTATAGGTTCTGGCAAAAGTCTGTACAGTTGGAGAGGAGGCAGAGTTCGAGCCAGATTCTTGCCTCGGGTATCACACAGGCCAGAAAGGGCGCTGGAAGAAACACACTAGTACGAGAACCAATCTGAAAAGGCTGCGTAGTGAAGCTCCGCATCCAACGAGGTTAGTCTTAGTTCCATTTTGACATCGTCAATGCTTACTGGAATGGGTAGCAATGCGCATATTGTCAGTAAGAAAGACACTGATAAGATAGGCCTTTAGTGGGAAGACATAGAACATGGAACATTGCGCTAAGAACACAGCGTAAGCTGTAGGCACAGCTCTGAATATCTAACATGACCTTTCGCCAGCTATGACCATCCATCAGCCAGGCATAGAAAGACTTGTTGGCTGGCTATGTACATCTTCCTGAAGCGTCTTTGCGGTCATGACTTCTTTAGTCTTGGTGAAAATACCGTCCCGCTGCCCACCACTTTCGGACGACATCGTAGGTTGGATCATGAACCCGAGTCGCATCGTAAGTCTGCTGCGGAAAGATTCGCTCCAGCGCCTCCCAATCAGTCTGATAGAGACCAAGGGGACTAGGCTGTGGAAGAGGACCATATAGTTTAACCATTTCCTCTTGTACCTGTTCGACGTAACGCTCAAGTTGAGATAGTCGTACGTTATTATGGCCGTGTCGACGAGCGTGCCAGACAGCAAGGGTCAGCACCCCCTGATCAGCTCCTCCAGGCCAGTATACTAGTCCGTCGCCCAGGCTGACAAGGAAGCAGTCGCGAAGATCGCAGAACTCGGTAGTTGAGTTTACACGATCGGTATTGATCGCAGAGAGCGTAAGACCGGCGGCGGCGCAGAGGTGACTACGAGCATCTCGTCGATGCTTCTTCATACTGCCGGCGGAGTGGGCCCGTAAATCGCCTACACTAAGCTGGCGGGAATAGAACTTTGAGATTCGTTAGCAAGGTCCTTGAAGACAGAGGCAGTTAGTACTGACGATCAGCTCACGCAGCTTATGAAGATTCCATCCGCTCGCTTCGAAGCGCTTCCAGATAGCCCTCCAACATGAGGCTGCTCGAGGAAAGAACTGCATCCTTCGTCAGTTCATTTTGCGCGCATGGGGGAGGGATTGAGTAGCCTACCGCAGCGATCTCCACAAGAGTCACCTCGATGTTGGGTCCAATCAGTCGGACGTCAACATGGTCCCACAGCGCTACGCTGTTGAAGGAACAGTATGAGGATTCTAAAGCCTTCTCAGGTAGAACCATACGTGGGGTGATGCAAAGCCAGGCAAGTTTACGAGACTCTGGCCACTCGTACCGATGGATACCAGCGGAACCACTGGAACGAACGCCGGATGTTCTAGGTCCTTGCGGTACAACGATCTGGTCCTGGCGTTTGAGTAGAATAGGTGGTGGTGGTGGTTGGTAAGCTTGGAGAGCCTGCGCCGGCTGTTGGGCTTCGAGGTATCGTAGATACCCCGAGAGGCTGTGATACATAGCTTGGTTTACGAGTTCGAGGGTGTTGAGGGCTTCAAATGCTAATCGCACGTCACGCGGAACGCGCACGGTGTATCCGGGCGCGTACCTCAAGAGTTCGACACACTCGGCAACGATGATACCCCTTCCGTTGGCGGAGTCGCTAACCCAGTAATGTAGGCCACTCTGTGTGGGAATCATAGCCCCGATCTGCTCCAGTCGCTCGCTCAAGTCGCAGAAGTCCTTGATGATCAGCTGGACCATGGGTGTATTGAACGCTGCCTCAGCGCGCAGTCCGTTGCGAGTCAGTTCATCTGACGCTTGATAGTCTTGGACTTGAGCAGGGTTATCACCGCCGTGACTGACGATGTGACTCAGCGTGTAGTCTGAGCCACCTGAAGGAGACGCCACACTATTCGCGAGGTCTGTGACGGCCGTAATTAGTACATTGAACCCCAAGCAAGCTAAACGGGGATTCGACTGAGGCAGCTTACCGTTATTCTGATTCATAATGTCGCTTGCTCTTGTTTGGGCGATGTTGGAGCTGTGGTAATGTCAAGAGGGTCTGTCGGTCATATGGTTTTAGTATATAACCCCACCGACACGTGAATAGATACAGCACGTGCACACGCGCTTGGATCCAGCGTTGTCATTAGCTAGGGTCAGGAGAGTAATTGTATTACTATACGGGATTACGCAGGCAGCAAAGTAAAATGCACCATGAGTTTTACTTGATGTGTCAAATATCGCCGTCTGATCATCACTCTCCGCGTCACAGTCTGCCAAAACAGCTCCTGTGTAGCATTTCCATAGCTCTGTATCCAAAGGAAAGGTCAAGGGGAAGAAAACCCAAGCATCCGCGTCCGGTCCGTCATGCGAATGGAGCGTTCCTGAACACTGATGTGGGACACCACAGCAAATGTTGAACAGAAAAGCCATCTCCTGTTCGTATAGCTGGGTCGCCACGAAACCGCGTCTCCAATATCTGGTATGGCTTCCTAGATGCCGCCAGAACTTTTACCATACTTGCTCACAAAATGTTTGTGGATCATAGCAAGGAAGGCCGGCGAAGGCGTGTCTTCCAATACCACGTTTGTGTCCGGCTGAATCAGATCCGCAGCGGGAACGTATATGCCGTGCTTCGCTGCATACTGGACGATCTCCGACATCTTGACATCCATGTCATGGGATACATTCCGCACATGCCAAACGCAGTGCGTCATGAGCTGTGCGTTGCGACCAGCGGGGTAATGCACTACTCCGTCCCCCAGATGGTAAAGGAAGTAGTCGTGAAGAGGCCAGGTGCGGGCATCTTTGTCCAGTTTCCCTCTCGGTGACATGTTTGAAGGTACGTTCGTGGTGAAAGTATGCTCTGGTATGTCTTCCGGTCGGTTATCGTGATAGTGGTGGAAGGTCGTCCGGTGGAAGCTCTTACCCGAGCGTAGCTGACGAACATAGGCCTGGTTAAGTAAGCATAAGCTTGTATATGTGACTTATGGAAAGAGATTCAAAAACTCACTATGAGATCAGCGATCGCCTTTGGGGCCCAGGACTTCCGAATGCGATCCCAAAGCTCGTAGTTCACGGTCTGAAATGGAAGAAACTGATCGAGTATCAGTGAGCGCTTTTCAGATCGGAGCAGTAGACTTACAGTGAGAATTTCCTGCGCAGTCGTGACACAGTTGATCAAGGTAGGATCAACCGTTTTTGGTGGAGCCACACCCCTCAGCTCATGACGATGGTGGGAGTTGGCCGCGGGTGGAAGGCTTGCCAATGGTCTACCTTGAATCTCGACAAAGGCACGGATCTGACCACGGGACATTGCAATGCCTGCACATCCCTGACCGGCGATATCTTGTGTGTTTCTGAAGGGGTTACCAGCCATGTAAGCAGCAATGGGGTCCGCTAAGCCAGGCTGGGGGGCTACGCCTGTTGGAAGCATAGCTACCGGGATCACGGGCTGGCTTGGAGGTGCTACTACCACTGCCGGTGCGACCGCCATCACGTTGAGCACCGGCTCTGGCGCAGACGCTATCGGATCATGTGTGGGGATAGCAACTTGAGCGCTCAGAGCTGGCATGAACATGTCTAAGATGCGGTCCAGCTCCTGCGACGAACAAGCTGAAAGTAGACTCTCGGAGGGTAGTGACGAGCGATGCTGAGACTGTGATTCTTCTGCCAGTGCGGAGATCTCGTGGTGGGTTCGCTTACCAGACTCATGCACTTGTCCTTCAGCATTGTTAACTGCATTAGCTGTGCGAAGTACTTGGACCCCGTTCTCAGTTTCAGAAGCTTTTCGCTTTCTCGGTCGACCCAGGGTATACTCCTCGTTGATCTTTACCCCATTTGACATTGATGCAATCTGCTTATGGTATACTTCTTGAATCTCAGCTGGTGCCATCTGCAGATAGTAGTCAGGCGTTGTAAGGAAGATATCAATCCATGCGTCGTGAAGGCGATCTTTGGATATCATGTATAGTATCAGGTCGTCATCGTCCTGGTTCTGTCCAAGCCGCATCAATAAATCTCTGGAGAACTCAATGACTGCCCTGACTCGCCGGCGATGATATTCGTTGCTCTGCAAAAGCCGGTCCTGCAGCAGATTTCGACGCGTGTAGTGTGCGGGTGTGTACGTCACGGCGGGATTGTTCCAAGGAAGGTCTGTAAGAGAAGGTGGTTGCTCTCGCTGGGCGCTACGGTCGACCTCGTTCGCCATCTGCGACGTGACGCCGCGCGGGGCCGACATGGACGCTACAGGTCGATTTCCATATGGGTGAGACACCATGGCATTGCCTGGGGGGTCTGGAGTGCGTGTCAGTAGGAACAAAAATCGCGATTTGGAAGCTTACTTCGGGCTCCGTTACTCGTCGTAAAACTGTCCGGTGCATCCATGTTACACAAAACTTTGTAAGAAGATGAGAAATGTTTGAGCCGAGGCTGAAAGCGCTATGCAAAAGATAAATGAGTAGAGAGCTTTGTCAACCGGGTTGAGTTGTTCGAGAGTTCGGCGTTCGCATGAGCCCATAGGCCATCTGCTCTTGGTGGGGGGGAGAGGTCGTCCGCGCAACGCCAGAACGCTCTAATCCATTTCGGGAAGTAACTGTGAGTCGCATGCTCGAGCACAAATGACAGGTGGCGAAAATACAGAAACTTGAATGGACACATGACCGTGTCATGGAGCCTACACGAAGGCTTTGTGCTTGCCGGCATAGTGAGGATATACGCGATAGTAAAGAATGTGCGGAGAAAGAAATGGCTTCAAAGTTGCAGTCGGTACATGATGAATGGACGCAAGCTTGAGACGAGGGTAAGACTTGATATGGGTATTAATCATGGTATCACAGATTCTTGCTCATACTACCATGAGCCGTCGCAAACCTTGATTCCTGATTACCTACTAAGCTTTGATCACTTGAGCATCGCAGCATAGATCACAACGAGCAATGAGTTCCAAGGTCTGATGAAAATTGTTGCGAGTGATGGTGATCGGATGATGGATGAGCGAAGATGAGGTGGTTGCAGCTGTTCGGCCATTTGAGGTTCCTCCCACACTAAACTGATTATGGACAGGGGCATGCTTGGCGGCAAACTTCGCAACCTGGGGATCGGCCGCCCCGCTTCCAACGCCGACAACCTTTTACTGAACGCCCGAAGGCACAACCAACAAAAGACGCCTCCACTAGTACCTGGGTATCGAAACCTGTTTGCGCGGCTCTTGCGCCAACGACTCCCCGCTCGTCTGTCTCATCAGCGACTCCAAACTACGGATGGTCGCCGAATTTGTTCCAGTAGTCGGCCTTCATCGCCAAAAGCCTCGCGGGCGACGGCAACTGGTCCTCCACAGCTAGGTTTGTGACGTTCATCTGCTCATTAACCGGTACTGTGATGTTGTACTGCCTTGCGTACGCAGCAGCTTGACTGAGACGAACGTGGCGATCCCCGGTGACCCTTCGAACGTGCTCGATGACACGCGTCAACAATTGCGCTTGACGTCCAGCAGGTGGATGAGCCACACCATCACCCATGTTGTAAAGGAAGAAGTCGTGCAGTATCCTGTTCTCGCCTTTCAAGAGGCTGTCTCTGCTGACGTTGCGAAGGGAGGCCGTGGGAACGAAGTCTGGATGCTCCTCTTGCCACTCTTCAGCGGCTTTGAAATGATACGAGATCTTCGAACGACTACAGATTCCCGGTGTCTGAGTATCATGTGCGTAGTTCTGGTGAGAATGGCATTAGCTTAGTCTTCTGTCAAAATCCAAGATCTGAAGCCACACTTACAATGTAGCGGGATATGTCCATGGGTCTCCAATGCCGCATCGCCCGGACACACGTCTCGCGGGTGGACGTGCAGCTGTTTGGAAAGTACTGCCACGTTGTTAGTGATTTGCTAATGTGCTTGAATCACACGGATGTTGCACTTGCCGTGAACATCTCCTCGATCGACGTCTCAAAAGGGCAGCAGCGCATGTCAACGGATGCAGGTGTCCGGAAGTTGGTCATCTCAGTGCCATGTACTGAAAATGCAAGAGAAGGTAGTCGTTGGATGCTTTTACCCTCGATCTCCACAAATGCTCGGATGCGCTCAGCACTCCAGGCGGTGTTATTGTTACCCGGTGGAAGCTCACTTCCTGGTCTGAAGCCCGCAGTGGTAATACCCTTTGCTTGAAGCAGCTGATGGAAAACTGGCGGAGCCGCCGGGTTTTGCTCGAAAGCAGCTGTACCGCTGCGTATAGACCGCAAAGGAAACACAGGCACCTGGGCGACAGAGTACTGACCTTGATGAGGGCCTGGAACTAGAGCCGATGCTGGCTGCATGTTTCCCTGAGACGCCTGTTGTGCGGACTGGGCCGGTGCTAACAGTGGGCGTGCTTGAGGTACATGCTGTGTAGGATGAGCGGACGACAAGCGCTGGGGGGCGACAACGGCCGGGAAAGGGAATGACTGGACAGACAAGCCTACCGGAGCCGCAGACGACTGGCGGAGCGCACGAGGATTGGTCCCTGATAGTCGTCCCTGAAGCAGACCTCTCCTCAGCCCGGTTGTTTCTGTGATATCACGGCGCGCCGAGTTAGGCTGACCATATCCACCTTTGAGCGTAGTCGCGTTTGAAGGGTCTCCGGCGACCTCGGGGTATGGGGTCTTTTCGACAACTCGTGGGGTCTGTGGGTGGGTCAAGTGATGAGAATGCGAGCCACTGGGAGCAAGTTGCTCAGATAACTCTCCTGGCAGAAACCAATCATAATGGGTGGACAGACTGATCTCATCCTGCATGATCCTCGCGAAGCTCGGCCAAACTCCAAAGTTGTCGACCAGGTCTTCCTCGTAGGCCGACCTTACTCCAGGCGGCGCCAAATCGAGCCATCCCTCGGCGAAGGTGAAGAAGGTTATCCATTCCTCCGCTAGGCATCCGCATGGCAGCCAGTAACGGTGGCCGGCAGCCAATTCGACAGCTGTGGGTGTCGAAGAAACATGACTGGAGCTGTACTTCCAGATACTTGCTAAGAGCGGTGCGATGCTCTGGTGCTTCATACAAGAGTCGTCGGCTTCGATCATGGCTCTTGTGAGTATCGGCTTCATCCTCGAGGTGGGAGTCTCGGCGATGAAGTCAGTCAAGGCGTTCGGGTGGAAATCCATCGGATCACACTATAGTTGATCCAGCTATGGAACAGGAGCTATGTCTGCCGTGACTGTTAGTCTTTGAGTTTCTGTTCTCGCGAATCGTAGCGCATACAATTCCTGTTGTATCAAGATCCGTCTCTGGGCAGTTCGCCGTTCGTTCGAGCGGTGTCAGTCGCAATGACACTGCGCTACACTCGTAGAATGGGTGCGATTCTCATGCAGGGATCTGTACGCGGCTGTAGAGATCTTGAAACGAACCAAAGGGGGCGTAGCGGAGTCTGGTTCAGATGTTGTGAGTTGCAAAGTAAAAGACATGGCTGGACGCTCAGTCGAGGTCTGTGCCCCCAAACTATCCCTCCTTGTAGTGAAATGTATACGTACAGGCGGTATAAAGCTCAACACGAGGTCGCCTAAGCGAAGACGGCGCTTTATTGAGGCACATCGTAGCCAAACAATGCTTGGCACCTCCTCCGAAACCGGTAGGTTGGCCCACTCATCCAATGCGTCGTCACTACGTCCAGCCTTTCAAACCTGTCCATAAGCACGAGATCAAGGTTGCTTTAGCTGATTTATTTCCTTGGCTGAGTCATGCTGTGCGATAAGGAAAGTACGTCGCAGATGTGGTCAAAATCCTGTGCCTGATGGAACTCGGATAACATCCATGCTCTAGATACATCATCTTCTCCATTTCAAAGAGTAAGTTTATGTAGAATGTGACTGACCAAATGTATCTCCTGGTGTATTTGGGGTTCATTCCTACTGAGGTCGTTGTCTCGTACCCTCCAGTGTCACAGGCCGTGTGCTCACTTGACCAGCAATCTCTGAGCATATAAAAACTTCGCATACGTAAAGCTATCTTCCGCACCTACGTGATCGCCTATTGGTCGCTTGCGTTTCATATAACAGGGTATCTTTTCCAGGCGGGCCGAGAGCGCGCTAAGCAATTGTTTGATCTCGAGGCGGCTTTGGAGCACAGACAGCGTCACCGGGTCATGCTTCGATTTACAAAGCCGCCGAACGTTAGTCTCGTATGTGCTCTTCTCTCCTTGCCACCCAAGAGACTGCACAGGCAAGTCAATTGTGACAATCTGTACGTCGTCAACAGCGTTCACGACGGACTCGCCTTTCCTAATTCGGCAATCAAAATGCGAAACGTCATGTCTACCTGCAACAGCTATGCAAGGCCTACCATCAGCATAGATCAAGCGCCGACTCGCAACACAGCAAGTCCACCCGGTATGATACAGAGGCCCCATACTCGTCCGCGCTACATCTCTAACATTGTCCAGAAGTAACAAGCCCCAACACCAAGTACTCGACACAGGCTATAGACCACGACGTCCTCGCCGCGCGTGGTGTTGGCGCGTTCTCCCCACCTGTGTCAACATCGCCAATCTTCCACGCCACCTGTCCGGCCGGAACAAAAGAGCTCCAGCGTGCCCCTCTCATTGACGAATGCATCAAACGCTTGCAAGACGAGAAGAAGGATAGTGTGAAGGCTTCTCCGAGCTTCAAAACGACAGAGATCCGGGGTCTGGCCAACAACAAAATCGGATTCGTCTCCGTGATGCGGCTCTCCACAGTCCAGACACTCCTCGCCCGCTATGTGTCCATGAACGATCTCGCAGCTCTTGCCAATGCATGCTCGGCCATTGGAGGTTCCCTGAACCTGGGAGATGAACATAGCAGGAAGATGTTCGAGGGTTTGGTCAAGGAAGATCGAGAGGCTCTTGAGAACTTGCGTGGGCCGCGCGCCAAGCGGAAGCTCGACGGTGGTGAAGAGACTGTGTGTGCACCATCATGGCGCCCTCAGTCGCGAGAATCGAAGAGGCTCAAAGCTTTCGCCTCGGTTTCCATACATGACTAGGGACTTACATGTCTTTTCTTGCATAACAGCAACTTGGTCTAGGGGGCGTAACGCAGAAGCGTAAAAGTTCACAGCGATTTGATGTATAGTCGGGCATTCGGAAAAGTTTTTCATCCTATCACTCATGACGCGAGCTGCCAAGATGTCAAAGCCGACCCTCAGTGACCAAGGAACGTGATGATAGGGACGCGTGCCGTGCTGAAGTTTGCGAAATTGTGCTACAAACTTCGCGACTCGCTTGTCTTTCCCAGTATGCAGACTAC